GCATCCAGACGGCCCAAGAGGCCTCCAAAATGGCCCTAGAGGCCTCCAAGATGCCCCAAGAGGCCTCCAGGAGCACTCCCAAGAGAACCCACAGAAGCAACATTCATCGCTTTCCCTTAGGTTTTGGACAGATTTGGGCGTTTCCACCTCTTCGGCTTCCCGACGCCCCTAGACGGCTCAAGAGGCCCCCAAGATCGCCCCAAGAGGGACCAAGAGGCCCCCAAGAGGGCCCCAAGACGACCACAAACGGCCCAAGACGGCTCCAAGACGGCCCAAGAAGCCCCCAAGACGGCCCCAATAATGCCTCACGAGAGGCCCCAGAAAGGGAACACGAAACAACATCTCGAACTCTTGGCCCTCAGCGGCCCCCAGGAAGCCCCAAGAGGCCCCCAAGAGGCCCCCAGAGGCCCCCAAGACGCCCTCAGGAAGTCCCCAAGAGACCCCCTAGAGGTCCCCAAGCGCCCTCAGGAGGCACCCCAAATGCCCCCCGAACACTCAACCAGCCAGCGATCCTCCTCCTCCTCCTCCTCCTTCTCCTCCTCGTCCTGCTCCTCCTCCTCCTCCTCCTCCTCCTCCTCCTCCCACCTCCTTCCTCCTCCTCCTCTCCTCCTCCTCCTCCTCCTCTTCCTCCTCCTCCTCCTCTTCCTCCTCCTCCTCCTCCTTACCCCCTCCTCCTCCTCCTCCTCCTCCTCCTCCTCGTCCTCCTCCTCGTCCTCCTCCTCCTCCTCCTCCTCCTCCTCCTCATGCCCTCCAATTTCTCTTCGACACAATACACACTCTGCGCTTGAAGGGAGAGGGAACACGAAAAAAAAATCGAGCCTCCAGCCCTCAGAGGCCCCCAGGAGGCCCCAAGAGGCCCCCAACAGGCCCTCAGGAAGCCCCCAAGAGGCCCCCTAGAGGCCCCCTAGCGATCCCAGGAAACCCCCGAAATGCCCCCCAGCACCCAGGCAAGTGCCAGCGATCCTCCTCCTCCTCCTCCTCCTCCTCCTCCTCCTCCTCCTCCTCCTCCTCCTTCCCCTCCTCCTCCTCCTCGCCCTCCTCCTCTACCCTCCTCCATCCTCCATCCTCCCTCCTCCTCCTCCTCCTCCTCCTCCTCATCTTTCCCGTCTCTCCTCCTCCTCCTCGTCCTCCTCCCATCTCCTCCTCCTCCTCCTCCTCCTCCTCCTCCTCCTCCTCCTCCTCCTCCACCTCAAGAGGCTTCAGCACTGCCTCCAAGAGACTCCCGAAACGCCTGCCAAGAAAACCCCACCAACGCCGCATTGACAACGATCCCTCGGGCAAACAGCATAGATGAGGCTACATGGGCCGGCGGAATGAGTGAAGCGATGAAAATATAGGTGGGTAGAGACATGAAGTAGGAAGCTGAGGCTGAGGCTGACATTGCGCCTGTGTCGTCCCAAGGGGGACGTCCCTACGCGGGGCTAGGCGGTGGCGCCGGGGCGCCGGCATCACTCGAATGTCTCAAAATCGAATATATGACAAATGGGGCTGGGGTCGGAAAAATGGGAGCCGGAGCCGGAGAGATTTGAGCCGGAGTCGGAAAATTGGGAGCCCGAGTCGGAAAGTCGGGAGCTGGAGTCGGAGAGACAAGAGCCGGAGTCCGAAAGTCGGGAGCCGGAAACGGAAGAAAATGCCAGCTGTATACGGAAACGAAGGCACTGGAGTCGGAAAATTGGGAGCCAGAACCGATGAGACATGCGCCGGAGTCGGATCGTCGGAAACCGGACACGGAAGATGGGAGCTGGAATCGGAAAACTTAGAGCTGGAGTCGGAAGATGGGAGCTGGAGTCGGGAAATTGGTGGGAGCCCGAGTCGGGGAGATGGGAGCCAAAGTCGGAAAGATGTGCGCCAGAATCGGAAATTTGGAACCAAAATCGGAAAGACAAGCGCTGGAGTTGGAGGGTCAGGAGGCGGAATCGGAGCAAAATGCAAACTGGAGTCGGAAACTTGGGAGCTGGAGTCGGAAAAATGGACGCCGGAATCGGAGAGACAAGGGCTGGAGTCGGAACGCCGGAGGCCGGGGTCGGAAGATGGGAAATGGATACGGAAATTTGGAGCCTGAGTCGGAAGATGGGAGCTGGAGTCGGAAAGTTGGGAGCTGGAGTCGGAGGATGAACGTCGCCTATCATACCCTGGCCAACAAAAACTATTCCATGCCCTGTGGTTGTGTCGCTGTTGGACGTTGTTTTGCGGGTCGCGTACGAATCTTGCATATTTGCCCATGTCAACATCTGATACCACTGCTTCCCATTCCTTTGCGCACGTCGCACGAACAAAAAACTGAAATATCGTCAATCCACCGTTTGTGCGGTCGGTGTGGCAGGCGCTTCGCATGGATATGTGTAGATCGTGGATCCCACATCATAACCTTTCGGCTCCACTTGTCTATTTCGTCGTGCACCACGGTAGATATATACCTCCATTGCAACCTTTTTCGTCGCGTGCACCAGTCTTCGTACCCGAGTTCGGCGCAATATCTTTCAATATGTTTGGTCGTGCGACGAATCCGTTCGTGCCAAGGTTCCAATGTATGTGTTGAAGAGCTCGGACCCGATGACGACATGAAGTAGGAAGGCGTTGCAAGTAGACAGGGTCTCCGCCCGCCCCCTGAGGATGGACGAGGGACAAACGCTCGACTCCGGCAGTAGGGAGGCGGCAACCATTGGATTGGGATCTGGGGATCCAACAAGACCTACGTTCTACGTTCAACAACGGGCGTGCATCATTCGACGAAGTTGGTCTGCGGTGCTCCGTCTGGCCTGGCTGCGTGCGCATACTTTCTGGGATTTGATGGCTAGTATGTCGACCTCCTGGTTGGAGGGCCGAGGGATCGCCAGTGGCTCACCGCCAAATGGCCGAGTGGCATGCACTTCAATACTCGTATCATGTTGTCGTGCCACTGCTGCAGAGCTGGGGATCGACGAGCCAGGAGAAGAGCGGGCATTGGCGACATGCAATTGGCCCAATGCTGTGTTCACGCGTTCCAGCTCGTCGTGCAACGCGCCACGGTGGTACCTGGTCTGCTTCGTTGTTTTAGGCGTATGGGTTGCGTGACTGTGACGCTGCGTGGTGGTGATGTGTTGCGTGCACTGTGTTGTTCTTGCACTGTGTTTTGCGTGGTGGATTGGGATTTGTTCAAATGTTTGTAGTACAATGCCTCACCCTGAATGGCAACGTGTTGGGGGTACTGATCGACGGTATCCGCGTTCGCCGTAGGCTCAAGCATTTGCCCTGGGATGGGTATGAAATACGTCTCTATCCAATACCTGTCCGTCGCCGTGAACGCGGTCATCAAGGGGTGACGGTTGCTCTCGTTTGAGAACACAACGACCACTACGTGTGTTAGCGCGTAACTCGGAACTCTTCCTCCTCCCTCCTGCTGCGTTCCCCTCCTGCCACCAGCTGTTCCTTATGTTCCATCATGCTCCCACTTCCTCTGGTCCCTGCCACCTCTCTCCTTACTCCTTGCCCCCGCTACTCCTCGCCATGACCGATCCCCAGAAGAGGAGGATAAGGAGGAGGAGGAGGAGAACGAGGACGAGGAGGAGGACGAGGAGGAAGAGCAGGAGCAGGAGTGGGAGAGGGGGGGAGGAGGAGGAGGAGGAGGACGAGGAGGAGGAGGAGGAGGAGGAGGAGGAGGCGGAGGAGGAGGACGACGAGGAGGAGCAGGAGGAGGAGGGGGAGAAGGGGAGGAGGGGGAGGAAGGGGAAGGTGAGGAGGAGGAGGGAGCAAGAGGAGAAGGAGGAGGAGGAGGAGGAGGAGGAAAAGGAGGAGGAGGGAGGAGAAGGCCAGCGCACCTCGCGTTGTAGGACTTGGCGCCCATCGCAGCCCCCGCGGGCTGCCCCTGCACTCCTGCACGGGAGCGGCGGGCGGCCCTCGCGCGTCGCTCCGCCACCGGAACCCCTGCCCCTCCCCCTCCTACCTCCTCCTCCTGCCTCCTCCTCCTCCTCCTGCTCCTCCTCCTCCGCCTCCTCCTCCTCTCCTCTCCCTCCTCTCCTCCTCCTCCTCCTTCCTCCTCCTCCCCCTCCTCCCTCCTCCTCATCGTCTTTCTCGTCCACCTCCTCCTCCTCCTCCACCTCCTCCTCCTCCTCCTCCTCCTCCTCCTCCTCCTCCTTCTCCTCCTCCCCCTCCCCTCCGCCTTGAAGGAGGCACCTTGCGCGGCCCACGTGGGCGGCCCAGAAGGCTGGCCCCGGCTTCCTCGTCGAATCCGCCCCCCCTCTGCCCTTGACCGGGGGAGCGAGGGTGCGGCCCTACCTCACGCTGAGCAAGGACCGATCGCCCTGGCATTCCTTTCTAGGCCTACCACGACATGCTGTTTAGAACCCAGAAATGCTCGAAGAACCGAAACCAATGCTCTTGAACCGTACAGCCGATGTGTTCAAGCAGGGCAGTCTCGGCCGGAGATGCTCTGAGAACACTCCGTGCAGACCACGGACGGGTTCTCAGAACACTCTGTGCTGGGCCTGCAGAGGCACTCCAGGACGCTTCACCACTGCTTGACGAGGGAGGCCTGGCTTCTCCTCGTGCCCCTCTCGACCTCCGGCTCTAAGGTCGGGCACGTCCCCTACAGGCGGAGATTTGAGGAAAATAATGTAATCAAAGTAAACAAAAAGACGAGCGGAAAACAAGATGGGAACAAACAAACAAAACGTCAGCAAACACAGCGAAACAAAAAGATACCAAAGATCGTCCCGGCCTTTTCCCGCGAGGGCCCCGCGGCGCCCGCGGGCCAGCCACGGAGGCCGGCCCTGCCTGCCGCACGCCCGCGCGATCGCCGCCGCAGGTCCTTCCCGTGCAGGGCCCCTCCGCAGCCCTCCGTGCCCGGGCACCACGGCGGCAGGCCATCGGGCCGCTGCAGGGGCCCGTAGGCAATGGGGCCCACAAAGAGCACACAAGCAAATACGCACAGATCCCAGGATGCCCCACATTCTCACACGTGTTCTGGGTTTCTGGCTTCCCCCCCTTCCCGTATTTTCGCATATTCCCCTGGGAATCGACGATGATTTGTGTTCTGGTGTGTTTTTCTCCTCCTGATATACGGGGGCCCCAGGAGCGTCAGAAAGCGGCTCGGGATGGACAGCCAGTCCCACGGCAGGGGTCGAGACCTCTGGGGACCACACTCTCACCAGCTCGAGAAGGTCGCAGCGTGGCTGATGGAGGGAAGGTGGGAGAGGGCAGAAGGGGAAGAGAGGGGAGAGGCCCACACTAGAACAACTCACGGCGTCGGGAGTCTGGGCCTCTCCATGAGCCACGAGCGACACACATACAACATGCAATCGGACCCACGCTAGAAGAGCACCCTCCAATAACATGAGACCCTCCGTCGGCCAAACACAGTGGCGCAATGGACTGGGAAAGAGCGACACGCGTCCCACCCGGGAGGCATGTCGCGGAGAGCGGCAAGGGGAGTGCCGAAGGGCGCGATGAAGCGCCGAACTGGCACAGGGGACAGGGTGCGAGCGACGTGCGTCCCACCCGGGAGGCACGCCGCAAGGGGGCAGCAGCGGGGGGCACCAGGAGGTGCGGAAGCCGGGTAAGGATGCAGGGCGACCCACGACCGGCCCAGCGTGCGCAGCAGAGGCACCGAGATGGTGCAGGGGCAGTGTGTGCGCGACGCGCCTCCCACCCGGGAGGCACTCCGCGCCTCCCACCCGCCCACGCCCGCTGCACGCCCAGGAGGCAGGGCGACTTCGGACCACGGCGGGGAAAGACTCGGCCCCCGGACTGGCTTGGGGCGAGGCCAGGGCGGAGGCAACATCGGGTGAGAGTAAATCGAGTCTTTGAAATCCCGCGGCTCTGGAGGAGGTCTCGGGCGCCGAGGCCTTCGTTCTGGAGCGTTATGGAACGCTCTAGCAGGAGTTTTTACCCTCGTCCTAGCCCCGGTACGGCCCACGCTCGCTGCACGCCCAGAATGCATGGCGACTTCAGACCACGGCAGCTGAAACAAAAATCGTTCCCCAGACCGGCCTCCCACCAAGCCACCCCGACCCGAAAGCGCCGTCGAGCCTGCCAAGTTCCAGCGGGGGGACGTTCTGGAACGTCGAGAAAACACAACAGGACCCGTACACCCCCAAACGACGTGTAGGGGGTTCTTTGGGAGGCCAAAAGGTAACGATACCGCTGCTCCCCAGACCTCACCCAGGGTGAGTTCTGACCAAGATTTCGAGGCGAATCCAGCAGTGGTGACGAGGGCCTCCGAAGAGGCCCAACAAGGGGAAAACGAGGAGAGGATAGCGGTATGGGTGCCACTTCTTCCTCTGAGGTTTGGGACCTTCGGGTTGGGCCGGGGTGGTTTGGTAAGTCGTGGCGGGCCCCTCACAAGGCCCCAACGCAACAATCTTCCGCACTACGTCTGGCCGCGCCCCGCGGGAAAGCCACCTGGGCGCCCGCTGCCGTGCCGATGCCGGCCCTGCAAGAGGCGGGACCGGCTGGCCGCGCCGCCGTCGTCGACCTCGCCGCTCGCGTCGCCGCCGTCGCCGCCGCCGCCGTCGTCGTCGACGCCGCCACCGTTCTTGGCCTCGTGGCCGCCATCACCGCCGCCACGCCGCCGCCGCCCGCCCCCCTCGTCGGCCTCCCCATCCTCGGCCATCGGCCTCGTCGTCTTCGTCCTCGTCGCCTCGGCCTTCTCTGGGGAAGCCGGAAAGTACTGCTGCCGTTGCTTCGACGTGAGTCCAGCCGTGGAGGCGGAGGCCTCCTAGGAGGCCCGAAAGGGCGAAAACGAAGTGAGGGCAGCGGAGTCGGTACCTATTCCACGTCTGAATCTCTGCCTCCTCCTCCTCCTCCTCCTCCTCCTCCTCCTCCTCCTCCTCCTCGTCGTCGTCGTCCTCCTTGTCGTCGTCCTCCTCGGTGTCGTCGTCGTCGTCGACCTCGCCGTCGTCGACCTTGCAGCCGCCGCCGCCGCCGCAGTCGCTGTGGGACGCCCCCTGCGGTCCTGCGCCAGCCCGGCAAGGGAGCGCAGGCCGCCGGGGAGGCCTCCAAGCACGTCCCAGAGGTCCTGCGCGCGCGCGCGGGACAGGGTGGGCCTGGCACAGGTCCGGGCGGGCAGCCTCCTCCTCCTCCTCCACATCCTCCTCCTTCCTCCTTTTCTTCCGTTTTCTCCTCCTCCTTCCTCCTCCTCCTCCTCCTCCTCCTCCTCCTCCTCCTCCTCTTGTCCTCCTCCTGCTCCTCCTTCTCCTCCGCCTCCTTCTTTCCCCTCCTCCTCCTCCTCCTCCTCCTCCTCCTCCTCCTCCTCCTCCTCCTCCTCCTCCTCCTCCTCCTCCGCCTCCTAGTCCTTCTCTCCTCCTCCTCCTCCTCCTCCTCCTCCTCCTCTCCCTCCCCCTCACTCCTCCTTCTCCTCCTCCTCCTCCTACTCCTGCTTCTCCTCCTCCGCCTCCGCCTCCGCCTCCGCCTCCTCCTCCTCCTCCTCCTCCTCCTCCTCCTGCTCCTCCTCCTCCTCTCCTCCTCCTCCTCCTCCTCCTCCTCCTCCTCCTCCGCCTCCTCCCCCTCCCCTCCCCCTCCCCTCCCCCTCCTCCTCCTCCTCCTCCTCTTCCTCCTCCTCCCTCTCCTCCTCCTCCAGATTCGGCGGCGAGCGAGGGGGGGAAGCGAGAAGGAGGAGGGCTTCTCAGAAGGCGGCGGGGCTTCTCAGAAGGCCCGCAGCCGACGCCTTCCGAGCCTTCTGGGAAGGCCCGCCCCTTCTCGATTCCCCCCTTGGGCTCGCCGCCGAGTGACCTCCGAGGACGTGAGCCACGAAAGCAAACGGGTCTTATACACGATGGTGCAGAGGCCTTATACGGTGCCTTACGCGGGCCGCCAACGTGGCACGCTGCATTGGAGACGAGGGCGCTACGCGCGACCGTACGCAGGAAGATGATGCGCCAACGCCTGTGAAGACGACCCCGTTGTTCTGCGTCGCTCATCTGATTTGCACGCGCCCGCCGTTTTTCCTCGATGTCAGCCTCTGGGGGACGTCACTGGGCCGTGGGACCACCAAAAACGGTCCTGGGGCGCAGAACTACCCCGGTGAAGGGGCCGGAAACTCTGGGGCCGCGGATTGAAAAATTATATCGGGGAACGTCTGGGTCTAGCACAGACCGGGGGTGGGAGGCAGTCTGCGAGGCCAAACGTTGAAAACGAGTCGGGGCTCGGCCTGGTGAGGCTTCGGGCTGCGCAACGACGGAACCGCCAAGTAATCCCGGCTGGCGTCAACAGCCTCTCGAATAGTCCAGTGCGGCCTCAACACCCTGGTGCCGCCTCTGGCGGCGCCCCTGGGGCGCTCCGGTCTAGTCAGGGGGTCTACAGTCGAAGTTTTCTGGAGAGGACACGCGACTGGACACAAGACCCTTCCGAGGGCCACACTGCCGTAGGAATGCAGAAGACATGGGCAGCGAAACACAGGAAACAGGGGTACCCCTGATCTGGCAGGGTCGACCTACTAATCAACCTCGACTGTACTTAGGGGGCCTGTTGAGGCCAGCCTGGCCTACAGGGGGGGCTCTCTGCGCAGCCCGAAGCCTGACAGTCATCACCGAGAGGAACGCATAATAAGGAACGAAGGAGCGGCGGGCCTAGGGCACAAACAGGCTCCACAGCACAACTCTAAGGAGCAGCCCGAAAAAACCCGGCCCCTCCTCCTTCCCCTCCTCCTGCTCCTCCTCCTCCTCCTCCTCCTCCTGCTCCTCCTCCTCCTGCTCCTCCTCCTGCCTCCTCCTTCTCCTCCTCCTCCTCCTCATTCTCCTGCTCCTTCTCCTGCTGATCCTCCTCCTCCTCCTCCTCCTGCTCCTCCTCCTCCTCCTGCTCCTCCTCCTCCTCCTCCTGCTCCTGCTCCTGCTCCTGCTCCTCCTCCTCCTCCTCATCCTCCTCCTCCTCCTCCTCGGCCCGAAAAGCAGCAGCCCTGATGCCAGCGTCTGCACTGCATCGGGGCTCGGCCCGCCGCCGCGCAGAGGGGGCTCCGAGGCCCCTGTCGGACGCGGGCGGCGCCCCGGGACCGGCCCACGTCGGGCGGGCAGCCCCGGGACCGGCGCGGGGTCGTGACGTCCACGAGGCGGGGAGTGCCAGGATCGGTGGTGGGCCTGTTTTCCACCACCACCACCACAAGTTGGAGTGGGAGGGGGCTCTCCTCCTCCTCCTCCTCCTCCCTCCTCTCCTCCTCCTCCTCCCACCTCCTCCCTCCTCCGCCCCGCCCCTCCTCCGCCTCCTCCTCCTCCTCCTCCTCCGCCTCCTCCTCCCCCATCCAACTTATGGTGGTGGTGGTGGAAAACAGGCCCATCAATCTGGGCTTCCATCTGGCTTCCACCTGGCCTTGGAGAGCTTCTCAGAAGGCCCCATCCGACTTCCCCCCTGGGCTCGCCGCCGAACTACCTTTCGATCGTGCCCATCCCCCCCTCCCGATCCTCGCGACTCGAGGGTGCGCTTCGGGGCGGGTTGCACTGCGGGGAGGGACCCATACGGGGCACCTTTTGGGCCCCTGCTGGCTCCAAAAGAGCTCCTACGGCCCTTTTCTTGACCCCGCATCTGGGTCAACGCCCATTGCCACCTGCCCGAGATCCTCCCCCCCAAGGCTCCCCTGGGGTGCGTTCTGTCCGGCATTTCGAAGCGAATCCAGCCGTGACATCGAGGGCCCCCCCAGGAGCCCCCCCCAAAAAGGGGGAAGGGTAGCAGTATCGGTACCATTCCTTCCTGACCCCCGACGTCATGATTATCTGCATAACGTCGATCCCCCAATAGCCTCGACCCCTTCCCCGGGTCCAACTATTCACCCTGAGTCGTTCTTGGAAGGTCCCTGGGCCCGGGAAAGGCCCCAAGAGGCCGAAGATCATGAAAACCCGCGATCCTCCTCCTCCTCCTCCTCTTCCTCCACCTCCTCCTCCGATTGCCATTGCCACCCGAACGAGACCCTCCTCCTCCGCTCCTCGCGACGCGGGGGCCGCGCGCTCCTTCTGCATGGCCGCCCGATACGCGCCCGTGCGCCGCGCGTCTCGCGCGCCCGGCGCCGCGGCATCGAGGCCGCGCGCGCTCCTGGCGCACCGGCGACCCGCGACAGACGGCCGACGGCCGGCGACCCGCGGCGACGACGACGACGACGACGCGACGACGCGACGACGACGCGACGACGCGACGGCCGCGCGAAGACGACGCGGCGACGGCGACGACGGCGCGACGGCGACGACCAGGCGACGACGCGATGGCGACGACGCGATGACGACGGCGACGCGACCACGACGCGACGAGGACGCGACGACCGACGGCTGGCGATCGCCGGCGACGACAACGACGTCGCGGCGACGGCGACGGCGGGTGCACCCTTACCCCCTCTTTCCAAGGAGGAGCAATCATACGTCGGCTGCACGTAAGAGTGACCCTGGGCAAGAGTGACCTTTGGTGCGCGGCTTTTTGGGGGGCGCGAGGAGGCAAAACACAGGCCATCGCACCGAGCGCGGCGATCGGAGGACCCCAGGCCCCAGTGAGCGCGCACCAAAGGTCACTCCGGCGAAGGGTCACTCTTACGTGTAGTCGAATACGTAATTACCGTCGGACCCGGGAGAGAAGAACACCCTTCACGAGCACGAGGCCCTCCGCCGGCCAAGCACACACACACACACACACACACCGAACACACCAAAAGGGCACCCTCCCCAGGATGCACAAAGAGAGCCTCCAGCACAAGCACGAAGAACGGTAAGGCACCCTCCCCGACGAGACCTCGAGCTTCTGCTTCGGTCCGGCCGTGACGCAAGTCACGTGGGGCCCACCACTGGCGGCGCCATCCCCCGCGCGCACCCCTGGCGCGCAAGCGCGCGCGCCAGGGGATGGGGGGGAGGGGGCAGCGCCGACGCCAAGAATGACAACGCGGAATTTTTCTGAGAGGCGGTGCTTCCGCTGGTTGTGTGCCACGTTCCGCTCCTGCCCAGCGCTTCCGTGTATGCCGCGCGTGTCCATCATGATGACGTTGTGTTTCTCCTATGAATATGGGAAACAAGAAACCGAACTCTATATACAGCGACGCTTTTTCCCGCCTCGAACGGACATTCGCACAATAAAGCGGATCCTGGTGTATACGGAGCCCTGGTGTATATGTTTCGCTTCCCCTAGGGAAACGGGGAAACATGCATACACCACACCACCCCGACGACGCCTCCGACCCTCCAAAAGTCATGGGATTGAGGAACAGTTTGCAACCGGTAAGTTATACATGTGTATATATATATATATGTGGTTGTATGTATGCCATGTATGTATGCATGCATGCATGTATGCATGTATGTATGTATGTATGTATGTATGTATGTAATGTAATGTCATGTCATGTCATGTCATGGCATGGCATGGCATGTCATGTCATGTAATGTAATGTAATGCAATGTAATGTAATGTAATGTAATGTAATGTAATGTAATGTAATGTAATGTAATGTAATGTAATGTATTGTAATGTAATGTAATGTAAGGTAATGTAATGTAATGTAATGTAATGTGATGTAATGTAATGTAATGTAATGTAATGTAATGTAATGTAATGTAATGTATTGCAATGTAATGTAATGTAATGTAATGTAATGTAATGTAATGAAATGCAATGTAATGTAATGTAATTCAATGTAATGTAATGTACTGCAATGTAATGTAACGTAATGTAATGCCATGTATTGTGATGTAATGCAATGTAATGTAATATAATATAATGTAATGTAACGTAATGTAACGTAATGTATTGTAATGTATGTAATGTATGTAATGTATGTATGTATGTATATATATATATATGTCTGTCTGTCTGTCTGTCTGTCTGTCTGTATGTATGTATGTATGTATGTGTATGTATGTATGTATGTATGTATGTATATATATATATATATATACATATATCATGCTCCAAATTCCGAGGAAAGCCTGCTAGCTGGTTGCGCTCGCATCTCGCCTCGCAGTGGACGCCTCGCGCCCTTTGGTCGGCGCCGCTTGTGCCACCACTGCGAGGTCCAAGCCCGCGCGCCCAGAACAGCCACCAGAGTCATGAGGCCGCAGCGACAGCTTTGCCGCAAGGAGCCATGGAATAGGGAACGGGGGGTCCAGATTGCGCTCAGATGCGCCAGGAGAACACCCATGCAGAGAACCAGGATTCGTCGAGCCCTTTGCGAAACCAGCGTGGTCCGCACGTACCCCGAGGATCTGGCTGTGCCTGCCCACGCCTATGGAGGAACCATCGAACAGGGAATCTGATCTCCCCTTGCTCCAGATCTGCCTCCCATGCTGGTCCTGCGAGCACTTGTTCGGATGCAGTTCGTTAGACTTAGGACGGGCATGTCCCCCTACAGGCGGATTTTGGAGGAGAGAAAAAAACACACATATACGCAAAAATTCGCCGGCCCCACGGGCCAGAGGCGTGCTAAGATCTCCGGCAACTGGTTAATAGTCTTCTACTTCGCGCGCGCGGGGCGGCCTCTGGGTACCTTCGGACAAAAAGTACCCCGAGCAGGTCCCGGCCAAGTGGGGCCCAGAGATGGTTTTCCTCCTCGGCGCTGCCTTCCAGGCTTTCCAGAGCGCCCCAGGAACGCCCCAAGAGAGCCCCGAGGCGCGCCCGAAACCGTCCGAAAGGCCCTGGGTCGCCGCAAGATCGTTCAAAGACGCCCAAGATGGCCTCCAGACGGCCCAAGCCGCCGCCAAGAAGCCCCAAGAGAGCCTCAAGAGGCCGTCCAAGAGAGTCTCAACAACTAAAAAACGTCTCATTTCCTTACGACGTGCATTTTTCGCATTTGCGACTCTTGTGGGTTCAGAGCGTCCAATACTGCCCAAGAGACCCCCAAGCTCGCCCCAAGACGGCCTAGCGGGCCCCAAAGATGGGCCGAAGAGGGCCCCAAGACGGCCCAAGAGGCGCCCAGGACAACCCCAGACGGCCCCGAGAGGGGACCAGGACCCCAAGACGGCCCAAGAGGCGCCCAAGAGGGGGAACGCGATGCGAAAATCCAAGCCTTTAACCCAAAAAGACCCCAAGAGGCCCCCAAGAGCACCCCGGGAGGCCCTCAAGGGGCCCGAAAACTGCGCTCCAGACGCTCCCGAGAAGCCTTCCGCGAGACCCCATCAGCCATCCGAGTGGCCTCAGACCCACACAACCACGCAGCCCCACGAAGCCTCCCACAAAAGCTTCTTGACGATGACCTTCATCGACTCTAATCGTGCCACGACACGCCATCCAGAGACTCCTCCTCCCCCTCCCCCTCCCCCTCCCCCTCCTCTTCCTCCTCGTCCTCCTCCTCCTCCTCCTCCTGTTCCCTACATGGGCCGGCGGAATGAGCGAAGCGGTTCAATAATCAAACAATGCTCAAAAATCGTCCCCATACAATGTTTCAAAAAATGATGAATTTCCCTCCTGTAGATGGACAGGCCCGCCTTAACGTTAGACACCTTCGACTCAGGTGGAGTGGACGTCGCAGTCGCCTCAGGGCCTCCTTGGACAGGCCTCTCAGAGCACCGGGAGAGGCCTCGAGATAAATGTAGTGAAGTCTCCGAGCGCAGGGGAGAAGGCTCAGAGCGTCCGAGAGAAGACGCCCCATTGGGAGAGAAGCCTACAATTAGGTCAGGCATCTCCCCCTACAGGCGGGCATGTCCCCCTACATGACGAAAAAAGAACAATCATAAAAATCCAAAAATACGCGAGTGTGACAAAAATGATGGTACAAATATCGTCTCCATACTACTTGTTTGTTTAACTATTTTTGGATATTCCTCGTGTAGAAGGACGTGCCCGACTTAAGCCTGAACCCGAACACCCTCCTCACCGCCCCGCCAAACCCTCCGAAAAGTCTGCCGAGGCCCTCCCAGGAATCTTGCCGCCGACGTCGCCATCGCCGTCGGCACCCCCGCCGTCGGCGCCGTCGTTCGCGTCCTCGCTCCAGACATCCGCCGATTTGATCGCTTCCATCCGCGGCCCCAGAGATCCCGGCCCTTTCCCTTCGGGGGGCAAGTCTGCGCCCCAGATTCGTGCTCGGTCGTCCCCAGGACCGCCCGACAACGGGCCCTGGAGGCCGCACTCAATACAGTCGAGGTACTAGCAGAAGGAACGCCAAATAAGGAACGAAGGGGCTTTTCTGGCCACGGTGGGCCTAGGCCACAAGCAAATCCCGCGACATACATCTAAGAAACGACCTAAATCCCCGAGCCCCTTCCGAACCCAAAGCGGTCCTTAGTTCAGCGCCTTGGCTGTAAAGGAGCACAAGCACTTCATCAACACGAACTGTCGGAGCTCTGCTCGGATGCATGGGGATCTGCGCTCTTACTGGCAAGCGGAGGCCCCGCCAAGGGGGGGGGGGCGGGGGGCAGCGCCGATCCAAGCAATCCGCGCAGAACTCCGAAGAGTTATGTCGAGACCGGGCATGTCCTCCTACAGGCGGATGCTGGAAGACAATGAACATAGTCAAACCGAACTCAACAATGATCGAACAATCATCGAAACATCGTCCCCAGACTGTTGGTTGGCTGCCCTCGAATACTCCTCATGTCGAGGGTCACGCCGGACTTGAAGCTGTGCTCGTGCCGCTGTCCCTTCCTCGGCATCGGCGAGACCTGCCCGCCTCGCAACAAAAGCACACCTCGTCGGAGTCGGTCGCGCTCTCGCCGCCGCCTCGCCGCTGCCCCGCGGCCCCGGGCGGCCGCCGAGACGAGGGCCGCGGGAGGCCGCCAGCGGCCGCCGAGGGCCACGCCAGCGGCCGCCGAGGGCCGCCGCGGAGGCGCCGCCGCAGAGGCGCCGCCGCAGAGGCGCCGCCGCGGAGGGGCGCGCCGCAGGGGGGGCGCCGCAGGGGGGGGGAGCAAGCGCGCCTGCCGACGCGCTCCACCGCCCGCCGCACCTCCGCGAGGGCGAGCGGGTCCTCGGAGCGCGGGCCGTGGACGCGCGGGCTTGGGCCCCGCGCGCGGGCGCGGGTGGTCCCGGGGGCGGGGAGGCTCTTCCCCTTCCCCGTCGTCGTCGTCGCCGTCCTCCTCCTCCTGCTCCTCCTCCTCCTCCTCCTCCTCCTCCTCCTCCTCCTCCTCCTCCTCCTCCTCCCCCTCCTCCCCCTCCTCGTCCTCCTCCCCCGCCTCCCCCTCCTCCTCTGTAGCCGTTCTTTGCTTCAAACACGCTTCGTCCTGGAGCCGATTGCCGCGTACTGCCACGGGTGTGTATTGCCACAAAGCTTACTGACCCTGGCCCGCACTTAAGAGGGAGCGAGAAGCCGTGTAAACGCAATCGGTCCACACACATGCTACGGCAACACGTCCGTTCACGTGGTGGGTGACGTCATCGACGGCATCTCCGCCTTTTGGTGATTGCAGGTGGGTTGCGCATCAATCACGGCCGTGGGTGTATGTTCATCTCGGTTTGGGCCTCGGTGGCTTGTCAACTACAGTGATGCATTCCAATTCTTCATTGTATGGTTGGTGGCGTCCGTCACGGCCTTTCGATATGTCAGGGCTTGCTGGTGGTCAGTTCATCAATCAAACAACTCGGCCGTGGGTGTAGTCTTCAGTTATGTTTGTGCCTCAATACTCTCGTCAACTACAATGCTGGATTCTCCCACCGCCGCGTCCATCACGGCTGCTCGAAATGTCAGAGCTTGCATTTGTTCAATCCAACAGCTCGGCTGTGGTTTGCAGCGCTGGTCGGGCTTCAGTGGCCTCGTCGACTGCAGTGCCGCCATGTCCCACCGCCGCATGCTGAGTGCATCTCGAATGACAAGTTCACGGGTGGCCATGTTTGCAAACTGTGGCCTGTACGTGTTTCGAGGCGTGTGCCCAAATGGGCTCGGCATGAGCGTGGCTTGATGTATACCGTGCTGGTCATAGAATGCGGCTCCGCGGGATCTCGGCGCCACTCGTCTCTTTCCGCCACCGCAGGTTGCTGGGTCACAATTGAATTCAAGTTTATCTGACTGGTGGCACCCATCACGGCTTTCTGTTTCAGGCCCTGCTGGTGGTCTGTTCTTCACTCAAAATACGTGGAAGTGGGGCTAGTCATCGGTTCTGTTTGGGCTTCAGTGGCCTCGGTGCTACAGTGCTGCAGTCTCCCGCAGCCGCGTGGGCAGTGTAGTTCAACAAGCTTGCTCCACGTCAATGGGCACGTGGCTTGGTGGGCAGACGGTACCCTCGCCGTGAGGTCAGCTGTGGATCGGAGGCATCGTTCTGAGATTATTAGCTGCTTGGGAGAATGAGACTTGACCCAGAAAAAACACATCCCCAATCCCAAAATCGCGGATTCACGGAGGATTCGAAGATCGGCCAAAGATTTCGGGGTATGTTTTGCGTTCGCCGTTGTCCCCCTGGTAAAACCCTGCCCAAAAACCTCCCTCCCCGAAGTCTCGCGGAGCCTGCGTTTCGTCTTGGCCCTCGCGCGTCTTTTTTGAGTTGGTGAAGACTGCAGTAGTCGGGACATACACACGGGCGCCAACAAAATGAGCATCACATGGAACGTCATCCGTGTACCGGGCGAATCTATAAGACACGCGCAGCAGGTGGTGTGGGCAGTCGGGCAACCAGCACTCCAGCCACTGCCTCGCTTACGGCATGGTGCTGGAGGTCATCAGGGTTCATTGCCAGCAGTAGTGGGACGGCGGTGCGGCGGCGGCCGAGTCGACCGCCGTGACTCTTTATTATGTAGACCTCTAGTCCTCCTCCTCCTCCTCCCCCAGATTCAAGCCTTCTCGGACGGGCCCCTTTCTCGCCCCGTTTCTTCTTCTTCTCTGTTCTTCCCTTGCCGCACCATCAACCCGCCTCCTTCGCTTCCTCCTCCTACGCCTCCGCCACCTGTTCCCCCTCCTCATCCTCCTCCTCTTCCTCCTCCTCCTCCCCCACCCCCTCCCCCTCCCCCTCCCCCTCCTCCTCCTCCTCCTCCTTCCTCCTCCTCCTCCTCCTCCTCCCCTCTCCTCCTTCTCCTCCTCCTCCTCCTCGTCCTCCTTCTCCTCCTCCTCTGCTCTTCTCCTCCTCTCCTCCTCTCCTCCTCTCCTCCTCTCCTCCTCTCCTCCCTCCTCCTCCTCCTCCTCCTCCTCCTCCTCCTCCTCCTCCTCCTCCTCCTCCTCCTCCTCCTCCTCCTCCTCCTCCTCCTCCTCCTCCTCCTCCTCCTCCTCCCTCCTCCTCCTCCTCCTCCTCCTCCTCCTCCTCCTCCTCCTCCTCCTCCTCCTCCTCCTCCCTCCTCCTCTCCTCCTCCTCCTCCTCCTCCTCCTCCTCCTCCTCCTCCTCCTCCTCCTTCCTCCCGCCCTCCCTCCTCTCCCTCCTCCTCCTCCTCATCCTGCCTCTTGTCCTGTTTCATCCGGTTCCACACCTTTTCCCCACCGTCCTGCCGCATTCCTCCCTCCTCCTCCTCCTCCTCCTTTTCCTCCTCCTCCTCCTCCTCCTCCTCCTCACATGTCATTGGCATATCTTCATTCGTTCCTCCTCCTTCCTCCTCCTAAGAGCCTCGGAGCCCCTTCGCCATCGCCCCGCCCCCCCCCCGCCCCTTCCCCTGGGCGGTCCAGAGCGGCCGCTGCGGCGGTGGGCCGCGCGGCGGGCGCTCTCTGGACGAGCTGGACCTGGCGGCGGGCTTCTCGCGGGAAGAAGGGGCCGCGGGGACGCGCACGATTTGGAGGCGGCCAGTCAGGCAGGCCACATCCGCTCGCCGTGCACACGCACGGCAACCCTGGCGACGAGGACAACCCGACGCCGCAGGACTGCAACCGCGTTTGGCGCCTGCCCGCAAGCGCCAACCGCGGCCACAGTCCACCCTCAGGCCCTCGGGCCAGGCGGCACCCCAGGACACGGGTCGGCGGCAGGCCCCTGGGGCCCGCCGTGGCCAGGAGACGAGGCGGATCCAGCCGACCGTCCGAAGTGCCTGGCCCCTTGAGAGCCACCTCGGACGGGCTCGCTCACATCTCCTACCCCAGCGCCCGCCGCTGCACAGCCTCGGCGATAGGCGGCGAGCAGCCAATCGACCTTGCGCTGCACGGCGGCCGCCTCAGGCTCCGCGCCGTCGCACGCAGGTCGGGCTGACCGCGGCGACAGCCCCCGGGGGCGCCGCGGCCCGCCGCCGCCGCTACCGCCCTCCGCGTCACTCCAGCTGGCCTCGCACGCGTCCGTGGCGGTGGACGGCCCAGCGCTCCTCGGCGGCCCTGGCGAGCCCGGCGGCGGCCGCTCCGGCGGCTGGAGCTCTTGCAACTCGCCGTCCACCGCGTCGGGCAGGTTCTGCAAGAAGATCGGGACGCGGCTACTCATCTTGGGCGCCATCTGGTCGGCGAGCCTGGCCAGGACCGCCTGGCCCGCAGGCGACGGCGCCCCGCACTTCTTCGCGAAGCTGGAGGCCCTCGCCGTGCCCGTGAAGCCGCACTTGAGGCACGCCACCAAGGGCATCATGCGCGTCAGCTGGCCGTCTACCTGTGGCTGAATCATGACCAGGTCGTGGTGGCTCAGCCCGCGCTGGCAAAGGCGCCGGTTGGCCGCCAACGCTGCCGGGACGATGCTGCCCGGGCACTCTCCGACTCGTCGCAGCCATCTGCACTGCGCGCACCACCGTTGACCGGGCGGGCCCCGCAGCTCGCACGTGCTCGTCACCGCCTCCTCGCCTGCAGCCTGGCTCGGCCGCTCGACCGCGCGTTGCGGCTTCGCCTTCCTGTGGCTCGCGTCGCTCCCGTTGACCCTGCTGCCTACGACGCTGCACCACATGGCCACGCCGTCGACCAGGCAGCGCTCCGCCTTCAACTTGGCGCGATCACAGGGAGGGATGCGCCCGTGGTCGGCCGCCGATCTGGCCGCAGCGTCCGCGTACTTGTTGCCCAGCCAGTCCCTGTAGGCGATGGTCCCGCCCCGTACCTGCCGTCGGGTCTGGTGCGCGCGCATCCACCGCACGCGGACGCCCAGTTCTCCGACGCCGCCGAGGTCGTCGATCAGGTCCCAAGCGACTCTCCACAGGTGGGCCCAGGTGTGACAATAGCTGGTGGTAATGGGGCGGCCAGCATGCATCACCCCATTGAAAACGCATTTCGAATCGACCACGGCGATGATCGGGGCAACCCCGAAACGCAGCGTCATGATGAAGGCCATGAGCTCACCGCCGTTGATGTCCACGTAGGGCTGGCACAACTGGCCCGAGACCGACATCAAGTACTCGTCCGCCGCTGGCCGCAATGCCACTGCACTCCAGCCTACCGAAGCATAGCCGTCAAACGCCGACTCGAAGGCTGAGCCGTCCAAGAAAACTTCGCCCGGCCGAATGACTCCTTCATGAAGTCCGCGCCAGCACACCTGCTCGCACTGAGTGGGCCTGGCGAGGCCCGTCTGCGCAGGCCAGAGGCACCTCTCCAGCAGCAGCTGTACCTCTGGGAGATCCGCGCGCTCGCGCAACTTCCAGACTGCTGGCGGCACCTGCAAGACGTCCTTCCAGCTGTCGCAGTCGCAGTGCCTGTGCAACAGCGTGCCCCGCTGGCCGCAGAGTACGCAGTCCCCCGAGGGGGCCATGCCCTTGTCCGCCTTCGTCGCCTGAGGCCACTGGCCGTTGGTGACCAGCGACCCGATGTACCCGCGCTCCTTCAGCGTGAGCCTCACCCTCCTGCGCGGCCCCAGGCCCGTGCCTCTGGGAGCTACACGCTGTCGACGAGGCCCGACGTCGTGAGGAGCACCAGCGGCTCCAGGACCCCTCCTCGCGCCAGGTGCTCGCAGCCTGGGGGGCCCGCGACTTGCCGCCACTGCCAGCTCTCGACGGCGCGCAGCAGCAACTTCTTAACAACCCACGGGGAGGTGTCGAAGGGCCGCACCTCTGTCCTATCGTGGCACCTCCAACGATCAGCATCAATGATGTCCCAGCCAACCCGACGCAGCGTGACGACGATCGCAGACAGCGGGCCCTGCACGCGCGCCCAAGTAGTTGCTCGACCTGCGCACAAGCAGAAGTCGATCATGTGGCGAGGCACCCAGCCTTCCCACCTCGCGTGCAGCAACATCATCACGGGCGCGAGTGTGGCGTGAATCGCTGGGTCGATGCCTGGCTGAAGCATCAACGCAAGGGTGCGCGATCTCCCGGCCGTGCTGGACGAGGTGGCGATGAAGGTGATGCTCCTCGCCTTGTCCAGCTCCCCCTGCGTGACCCCTGTGACCCCTGCGCCGTAGGCCACACTGGGCTCCAGCCCTGTCTTGGCCACTCGCCGGGCCGCCTGCTTCCTGCTCTTGCCAGTCTTGATCACTCGCACTCGACGAAGCCGCTGGTGAGCGAGCCGGAGACGCTCCGCCCGAACTGCACGACCGACGCGCTTGCCGCCGCTGAAGTCGACCCCGAGGTTCCGCTCCTGCTCTGCGCCTACCACGCCGAGGGGCCGCCGCAGACGCTGGGCCAAACCCGCTCTGGCGGCGGGGTGGTTGGCCAAAGCTCTCGACTTCTTGGGCGACACCCACCCGCAAGTCGATGTCGTCCAGCAGCGTCTTTAACCTGTAGGCCGCGTCAGAGACCTCCCGCACAGTGCGTTGCAGCCCCCCAGTTCGCCTCAGTATGATGTCATCCACCACCACGGAGAAGGACACCGTGGGCGAGTGCTCCTGCAGCTTGTCCAGCGGTGCCAGCAGGAGCATCTTGACCATGAGCGTCGCCAGCCCGTCGCCTGGAAGCACTGCCTGCTCGGCGTAAATCGGATCGCTCACTGCGTCGCCGAGCACCAACAGCCGCGGAGCGCGGTGGAGCTCGATCTGCAACTTGAGCTGCCATAGAGGAAACCCTGTCTTGATCGCCGCGTCGACCAAGTGATGGTGGCGCACCTGCTCGCACGCCTTAAGCAGGTCCAGCAGCACGAGCACCGCAACCCAAGCCTCGGGGTCGTCCGCGGCGCGCCCCTTGGCGGTGGCCCATTCGCAGTCCACCGCCTGCTGCCACACCGCTCTCTCGCAGCCTCGGCCGCGCGAGACCCAGAAGAACGGCCTGTCGTTCGGCAGCTCCCATTCGACCGCCAGCGGCTGGCGAAGCCGCGTCTGCACCCGCGCCAGCACCACGATGACGGCGATGGGCCGAACCCCACCAAGGCGCTTCGCCAAGCAGCACACCTTCGTGCTGAGCGCTGGCCACTCAGCCGCCCGCTCCACCGCCACCAAGATGTCGATGAAGGCCTCCAGCGCCCCGTCGCACAGCTCGAGCAGCTGGCGCGGCCGGATCCCCTCGAAGGAGGCCGCGGTGCCACCGCGGAATGTGCGGAGGCAGCTGCGCAGCTCGCCGACCGACGGCCTCGGCGGCCGTTCGCCGAGGTCCTGCGGCCAGTGCAAGCACATCTGGTCGCATTCGACCCGCCACAGGTGCTTCCACTCCTCCTCTGGCTGCTTGACTTCGGCTGCCTGATGTGCAGGCGCGCCTGCGCCGTCCTCCACCGCAAGCGGGCTCTCGCGCCACCTGGTGGGGACCCTGGCGACGGCGTGCACCCCTGCAGCGCCCTCACGCAGCTGGTGAAACACCCACTCGTCGAACTGGCGTCCACGCTCGTCGAGGTCCCTCTGCGCCAGGGCCTGCGCGTCCGCGCGAGCGCGGTCGGCGAGCCGCACCGCCGCCCGCGCGTCGAGCGCGCCGAGATCGCAACGCTGGGCCAGCCTCCACCCGAGACCTGCGGCGAAAGCCAGCCCACCGACCTGGGGGGACGCGGGCTGCTCCACGGCGCGCTTCTCCTGGCTCTCCTGCCCCTCGCGCACTCGCCGAGAGGCGCGGCGTGCTAGCGCGGGCAGGCCCCGTAGCGCCGAGACCCGCTCCCTGGGCTGCTGGACAGCCTCGGCGGCCTCGGCGACCGTGGACCCGGCGGCCCCGGCCCCAGCGGCCCCGGCGGAAGCGCCAGCGGGGGCCACGGCAGCGCCCCCAGCGGCCGCCGCGCCTACGTCCGCGGCTCTCCCAGCGGCGCCCCACGCCAGCGGGGCGGCCGCGGCGCCGTCGGCGGGGAGCTGCCCCTGGAGATTTTGGCATGGATCGGCGTGTGCCGTCGGGGGCGGGGGGCGCCCCGCAGCCTCCAGAAGCCTCTGGAGATTTTGGCCTGGATCGGCAGCGCGTGCCGCCAGCGCGGGGAACTCCAGCTGCGGCCCACTGGGGCTCCGCGCAGGTGGCTCCTCGTCGCCGCACTGCGCCAGCCTGGGCAGGCTGCTGCCGCTGTCGTCACCCACGCCGAAGCTCTGCGCCACTTCCTGCCAGAGGTCGCCCGGGCGCCCGCATCGGACCTGACGGAGCGACTCGGCCGTCGCGTCCACCGGCATCGCGAAAGCTGGCCCGAGCACAGTGGATGGCCCGGCGCTCCCCGGCGGCCCTCGGCCCCGAGCACAGGTGACGGCCCCGGCACAGGCTCGAGCACAGGTGACGGCCCCAGAGGCGGTGACACTCCCGCCGTCGCCGGCGCCCTCTGGCGACGGCGGCGATGTCACCCCCCTCGGTGGGGGGTCCTGGGGCCCTCTTGGCTCTCCTGGAGGGCTGCCGGAGCCTGCGCGTCCGCCTGCAGCGTCCACGGCGGTGCCCAGGATCCTCCTCATCTCCTGCCTAACGCGCAACCATCGCTCGTCGTGGTCGTAGGTGCTGCACCCATGGGGCCTC